ATTGTACAGTCTGTTGCTAAGTGAACAGGAAAGCCAAAAAGAACACGATTAAGATATATGCAAGGCAGAACAACCAGTCCTTTAGAAATAAAGCTCACTTCACATTATGAAGTGCTTTTTATGAAAAGGACTGTTACCCACATAAAAGCAGTTTCTCTCCATATCTAATGCCAGGGGCTGTATGTCTAGAAGGACTTCAGAGGCAAACTGAACAGGAATGCTATATGTGAAATACACTGACTGCCACCTCCTGCTAATCCTAAAGAACAAAGTTGTGTGGAGGGAAATTGAAGTAAAATTATGTGCATTATGTTTTGTTAAACTACTTACATTTTGATTACTTTGCTGAACTCTCATGACTTACATGCTTCTTACTGGACAATGGGGGTTACCCAATGTTAGCGGAAGTGCTTTTCTGCCCCATTTCTTCCTCCCCTATCCACTGGTTCATTTCTTTTCACCCCATCTTATCTATTTTCTATTTGTTCTGTCCAGGTCTACAGTAGAAGTTTCTGGTCTTACAGGAATACTGATTAGTGGTATGGGAGCTGTGAGATTTTTTTTAAGCCTTATTTTTGTACTGGCAACAGACCTGTCAGACACGTAATTATGCTGGGATAAGTGTTTTTGAAGGCATGATTAATTTAGCTCAGTACAAACTAAGTTGGCAAAATCACTTTTTTGCTAGCATAAGCTGTGTGGTACCCGAAGGATTTGCCAGTACATCTGTATCAGCCAACTTTTTCTAGTGTCAACATGGCTCCTTATCTTGTCTTCACAACTTCCAGTGACACAGGTTTAGCATGAAGGGAAAACAAAGAGGTTAGCCTCTCTAAATATTTGGGCTTCCAGTAGCAAGAACACTGCACCTGAGCAGAACCATAAGCTGCTACCTTGGAGTGATGGTACAGAGAAATGTGAGAACCCTACTCAACCTGAGCAACAGAGCAGAACATTGAATTAAATTTCAGTAGTTATACAATGCATAATGGGGAAGCAACTATATTTATTATTCTTATTGTGTTCTGAATTAGCTAGATTTTTTCCTTTACTTAGGTAGAGAAATATTAATTCTAAAAATAGAATTACGACATTGAATTATATTCAAGTAAGACCTGAATAACCACACTGTGACTAACATTTCTAAAAAAGTGCAAAAGTAAAAGTTAATGCCCTTAGCCTTCAGTTCAGTACCTAAAAAGAGGATTTTTAGAGATGTCCAAATCTTTGAGAACTCAAGCCCAGTGGACACAATGTTCATAATTCACTTGATTTAAAAAAAAAAAAAAAATACTTCACACAGCTGGCTCATTTTGCATTTCTAAGCCCAAGCTTAGCTTTCTACCATTCTTGAACATTTGGGTCTGCACTTTTATTAGTATAAAAATATCATGCTTCATTTGGTCATGTCTCAAAGGAAAGGACATGAGCAACCTTTTGGGAGGGTCTCACAGAAGACTGGAATTACAGAACTTCCAACAATTAAAGGGGCTGTACAGGGCCACCAAGGCCCTTAGTGGAGAACATGCTACAGATCAGTAACCTTTACATAAGATAACAGAAGAAAAATATAAAATGAAGTGGTAGATGCATGATCTTGGATGTATGACTAGCATGCCGCTTTTTATAAGATTCAAGAGAAAGTTTCCAGTCTCCTGTTCAAGGGCACAAACAGGTTATTAAGACTTGGTGAGGACGGGTTATGTACCCTGCACATAACGGTTTGCCCAGTCTCGGAGGTTCTTAACAGTCCTTTGAAATCTTTATCTGACTGACATGAATCAGTGCTAGACACAGGATTCTGGCCAACACTAGAGTTACTATTAAACTCGATGTTATAGGTAGTTTTTTCTAATTTAATAAATGCTAATTGCGTTTTACAATTGAAATGTTATTCACTTGGCCACATTATGGTAAATGATATTGTTATGCAGTGCTCCAACTGGTTGCAGAAAGGAACTTGGTATTTTTTTTCCTTTCCTTTTTTCAGATTAGATTAGATTTTTAACCCAGTTATGCAGAGTAAACACAGGTCTTCAGCCTTTAATACAGATTGGCCTCTTCCCATCTAATCCCAATTGCCTTTGAAGTGGTCTACACATTGGTAGTATTTTAGTTCGAAAGAGTATGGATTGGGGAGATTGGTATATCAGGTTTAAATATAAGAAGGGAGCAGGCTCTGACTGCAATGAGATGGTAGTTTTTTGAAGCACCATCTCATTTTATAAAAACTGAACCCGTTAGCAATGCTGAATAATAAATACCTGAGGGAAGGCTGTGGAATAGTGTCTGGACTGGCTGGGACCTGAACACCCTTTTCCCACTCCTGTTTCCATGTGTCCGCAAAGAGGTAATATTCATCGGGGTTAACATGGTGAGAATCAGGGAGTTTCATGGCACTAATGAGATCCTTCCGGAACACCTGCACACAAAGAAATAAAGAAATAAAACTAAAATAAACCGATCTCTCATTTGGAAAGAAAAAAAAAAAAAAATCAGTGGTATTAAACAGTCTGAATAGTTTTCCCTGATATTATAACCACACTGCTAACATAGTTGACATGGACAATTAGTTAATTTTCTTAAGGACTCCACTGAAGACTCCCTCAACACCCATCTTTTCCTTGACCTCCACAGGAGTCACCGCATACCCTCCCAACCCCTGCTCTCTCCTGAGATCTCACATATTCCACTGAGAACCAGGAGACTCCCCGCATAACGTGGCAGCCACACTCCTCTCCCCCCAGCAACTAATCCCATTTCTTTCCAGCGAGCCGCAGTGGCTTCTGCACCCCTTTACCTCTACTCCTAACTTGAGGGCTCCCTATAAGCCCTGCTCATTCCCAAGCTGAATCTAAATAGCCAAAAATGAAAGGAAGCTAGGATAGGATAAGGGAAGCCAAGATAAGGTAGGGTCATTCAGCATTCTTCTGGAGAAGCTAAAATCATGGAGCATGTACCAGCTAAAAACCAGACCCTAAGCAATCACCCAACACTGTTTTGGCTTAAAGAAAGAAATTTAAAGTTTCTTCAGCTATTGGATGATTACAACAGAACAACCCTGTTACAACAGAATGGTTGGCTACAACAGAACAACATCTGTTCACCAAGACTAGGAATAATGGTCATCAACTGCTAGAAGATTGCTTCAGATTAGATGTTAAGAAAAAAAAATGTATGATTCATATGTCCAAAGTCTGGAACAGACTCCCCCCAGAGGTGGTACAGTCGCCTTCCCTGGAGATCTCTAAGGGACGACTGGACGCACCTCACCGGGGTCATCTGACCTCAGTAGTCTTTCCTGCCTTAGAGTGGGAGGGTTGGACCTGATGCTCTCAGGAGGTCTCTTCCAGCCCCTAACTTCTATGAAATCTGATGCATCTATGAACCCCTAGCCTAACATTTTTGGTTCTTATGTACTGTGAGTACACTGGTTTAAAGAAAAGGACATACCTACAGTTTGCATTCAGCAGACATTGACAAAGTATGACAGTGACAAACTTTCATCCTCCTTGCAAAATGAGCAAAAGCAGGGACCATGGCTTGCTTCAAGGAGTGCCTGAGGTGAAAGTCCTGGCTGGCTGAACAGCAGTATGTTCAAAAGGGCACAGAGAACTAAGTAAGCCATCAAAGCCAAAGCTGTTCTAATAGGCAGTCACTCAAAGAGGAAAATAACCCCATGATAAGACCTGCAGAACTTCTTTTTTATTTTTTTTAATCAACTGTGATAATTTTATATAGAAACAAGAGCTAGTTATCTAAATTTAATTAGCTCTTCCTGATCTCTCTTCAATCTGATGTTATCAGTCATTACAAAAATAATAAATAAATAAATTCATAGACATTAGGGGCTGGGAGGTCTTTGAATTCTCCTCAGCCTGATGAAGGCTGACAAAGAGCGTGTGCCCAAAAGCTTGCAAAGAAAAGATTTTTTTGGTACTATTTAGTTGGTCTAATAAAAGATATCATCTCTGACCCAAAAGCTTTGTGTAAAACAAACACACAAATTCCCAGTTTTATTAGCTTGCACCCATATAAAAGCGATTGTGAAACATGCGTGAGGAAACAACTACACAGTATTTTCCACTTTTCCAAAGAACCTGAACTTTTACAGTAAATGTGCACCGGCAACAGGAACCCTGCCCCATCCCCACATATACTTTTGCTGATGTTACCTACCAAAAAATGTTTAAAGTTCTTTTAACTTTAAAGGTCTAGCTGTTGATACCGTAGTTGGTGGGCTTTGCAATCGGGCACCATTTCGTTATTTAATAAGCACTGCATGTGTGGTCATATTTTAAAATGATAATTCACTACCATGTCTGTCTCTGCTTTAATAAAATAGCTACTGATAATTTGGGACATAAAAGTAGAGCCTTAGGATATACTGTGACAGCATTTTATTTATTTATTTGTACATATGCAAGAACAGCAGCACATCAAGTAGGACACTGAACAGAAAGAGACAAATTAACAGGCCCCTATGGTTTTCCCCACCTACAATGCACTTGTTAGAAATAGTTTCCAGAAGTATTCTATGCTAGATTCCTCAAGTAGTCAACAAGTGTCTTCATAAATAGATACCTTAAAGTCTTTAAAACGTTGGATCTACAATTACAGCCATTTAAAAAACAAACAGGCCTTACACAGGTTAGGTAAAAATCTCCTTACCTATATCACCATCACAAACACTCTGGCAAAATATAATAACCCAACTTAAGTCAGGAAGACTTCACAGACTGATATCCGTGAACACGCAATGTTTCTCAAGCAACTTGAATATATTAAACACAAAACTGAACTAGTATAAATCACTTTCAAATGCACTTCATTCTTCTCTCTGCTGCAATGGGATGAGTTTTCTTTTAGAAGCATTAACCCGGCATATTCAAAAGTTCTCCAAGAAAAACAAACAACAAATTAATATGTATTTATTGGCTAAATTATTGGAGGTGATGTTATATAATCTTACCCAAGATGATGCTTTACAAACTACCTTGTAAGTTACTGGCTGAAACTATGAAACGACAGGTTTGTACTAAGCAGACTGATTACCAGGGATCCTGGTTTTCTCTGATTAAAAAAAACAAAAAAAACAAACCACCCAATTTTCAGTTAGAAAAGCAACCCCAAATCCACATTTTTTCTAAGATTAAAATGAAACACCACTAATATATAGATAAAAGTTAAAATATATCTATATATTAGTGGTGTTTCATTTTAATCATGGAAAAACGTAATTCGGGGTGACTTTTTTTAACTGAAAATTGGGGATTTTTTTTTTTTTAAATCAGAGAATACCAGGATCCCTACTGATTACTTACACCAGAAGGAAAAGTACTAGTAGAAGAGTCTGTTCTAATGGCATTGACTTAATGTGAATTCATCTGTTGATCATCTGCCACATGTGAATTGTGCCATCTGTATTTTTAGAACCAAGGCCTGGACCATTTTCCTCTTTGTTGCACAGCACCAATTATATCACCAATTCTAGACAATATGCATATCGACTGGATTTACAACAGCACTGTCATAGAAGGCCAATGAGGTATAAGTTGGGGCAATGTATGGTTAACATCAACTACAAGGAACCCAATACCAGACCAATATTTCCTTAGTATACATTTTTCACGATAGTTACAGCACTATTCTAGTCATTCAGGGATTTAAAACTGTTACAAAACCGTCTATAATCTGCATGCTTGTCCATCACCCTCAGTACTGCAGCAACCTCCAACAACAGAGTGGGAAAGCTCCCAGCTCAAGGGCAAAGACAGATCTCTAGTGCCATATTTCTTTCTTTGTCACTTAAAAAGAAAACTCCGATGAAACCTAGAAGGACTTGGGTATGATTTTATTAGCATTACCTTCAATATTTGACCTCAATATCATCAGCTGCCAAAAGACTTGGCAAATGGAACACTCTTTCAAAAGGGACACAAGTCACCGTTTGACAAAATTGCTTTTCCAGGTACATGATATAAGCAAGCTTTTTAAATTAACTGCCTTCCCTCCATTGCCCAAAATCACTAAGCAACTATTTCAAGCAACTGTGTAGGGTCTGCGCTCTTGGAAATGTGGAATGGCTTCTCTTCCTTAACACAGAAAATAGTCATCAATTCCTCAGGTATCACAGCAAACCGCAGGTTTATAAAAATGTTTGGAGATTAAAATAGGAGCTCTGTAGAAAGACAGGCACACAAAAATACCAAAGAAGCCTTTATTCAAATGCAAGTTAACCCAAACAATATTACAGAACAATATCTGAACCACAAAAAATTTAAATACAGCTTTGATACATTTTGTAAATTCATGTTTACTAGACGAAAAACCTGAAAGTAAGGAGGAATAACAAGGAGGAATAACTTTTTTGCCACACCTACATTCATCTTGTTGCTTACAATACAGATATAATCTGACATTTCTCTCATGCTTACATACATAAATGCAATCAAAGTTCTCATAAAGTACTAAGCTAACTACCTAAGTTTCTTGGCAAGTTACACTTAAATGAAAATCTCAGAAGTGACAGGGATGCTCTTATTTCAGACTATGCGCTTATTGGCTGTGTCCAAGCAAGCATGGACACGTGGGGCCGCAGACCTGTCTGTGGTGCCACACACCGTACATGTAGGTGTTCTCTGCACTGTTACCTTACAGCACAGGGGGCGTTTCACCATGGGAGATCCCAAGGTCCAAAAACTTACACCAAAATAGTGGGGCAGCTCACATGGCAGCAGCACATCCCATCCAAAACCAGAACCTGGCCAGCCAGAGTCAGGCTCTAGCTGCCAACCACGCTTTCTGCCACAGCTGACATCCTTGGGGCTTCAGGTAAGGTGCACAGTTGCTGGCCCCAGCCTCCCTTACCCAACCTGGGGTAACCTGTCACGCACCAGAGCACACGTGGTACGGGCATGTGGCAGGAGGTTTGCCACTGACTATTAGTCCCAGTGGAAAACATCCACACTCATCTGAACGCACCCACTGAAGCCTAACTGGCTTCTGCCTTCAGAACTCAGTATTCACATGCCTACAATATGAGGGTCCTTTAGTGCTTTGCCCCCTCCATTTATCTTTCACAGAGGGAAGGATCCATTACTTCACCACTCACCTTCTCTCTCCTTTTAAATAACTTGTAATGGTGAAAAAAATGCAGGTTAAAAAGAGGAATAGAATGGGAAGAAAGAGGGAAGAAATCTTTTTAAATAAATCACACGTTAAAACTATCAAGTCTCAGTTCTGATGCTAGCCTTTCCCAAGCACGACAGCTGGAGATAGTCCAATGAGCAGCAGCAGAGGATGTCAGAATGTTTTGAATGTGCTACCCTGCAAATGCTAGATCCTGAATATACTCACTCCATATCAAAGACAAGTTAACCTGCAGTGCTCTTGTTTTGCCTCTTTCATAAAAAGCGTCCC